TGATATAATGAGTATTCTTGTTACATAGGTCATTTTTGACATATACAATTATAACGAGATTCCTAGAAATAAGTTTTTTGAGGAATTTGAAGTTCTTTGAAATTTCTAGTTCAAACAGATTATGCATTTGTCATTTTAATGTATTGCTAAATTACTCTTCATACTGCCTGTATCCTCACCAACACAATGACTTATCAGACTTTTTGATAGGAACTCCTCTGATAGATGGAAAATGATATCTCATTGTAGCTTTATGTGTGTTTGAGCCATTTGCATTTTCTGAGGACCCACTGGTATCTTTTTTTCATTTCTCTTGTGTTGCTGACTTTGTTTAGCTGCAGTAGCTCTTGATCTATTAAGGAAATTAGCCTTTTGATTGATGTGAGTTCCAGATCTCTCTTCCCAGTGTGGTGTTTTTCTTTCAGCTTGACTTTCAGTAGTTATTACCAAGTTTGCTTAGTTGATTTATCAGAGTTTTATTTATTTTGGGGAGTGGCTTCGGAATTTTATGTTATACTTAGGGAAGACCCTTCATGATTATTTTTTAAAACTTTCATCTTTTTCTTTCTAGCACATGTATAGTTTTTGTGCGTGTGTGTGTTTTAATCTTTCAGCCATTTGGAATGGATTTGGGGATTAAGGCATTAAGTATGGATGGAACTTTTTTCCCTAGTTATCCTAACACTATGCATTGAAAGTTTGATCTTGCCCTATTGATAGGAAATGCCATTGGGTATCTTATGTGTGGGTCTTGTCTACCTGGCTAGATCATACAGTGTTTAAAGGCAACAATCAGGTATTACTCTATCTTGTATCCTCCTTAAAGCTGAGCGTAATGACCTGAATAAAATGGGGGTGAAATTAATTTTTTACATTGAAAAAGTTGTGATTTGTATACGTAGGAAAGCACCCAAAATATTCATGTAGAGTTCAATGAAATTTTATAAAATGAACACCTGTGTAACCACCACCTGGATCAAGAAATAGGCTACTTCTAGCCCCCCAGGAGTCACCTGTATGCCCTTTCTTCTATTTTCTTTTCTTTTTTTTTTTTTTTGTTTTATTTTTTATTTTTGTGTCCTTTCTTATTTATTTATATTTCTTGATGCAGGGTCTTGCTCTGTCACCCAGGCAAGAGAGCAGTGGTGGAGTGCAGCAGCCTTGAACTCCTCACATCAAGCGATCCTTCTGTCTCAGCTTTCCAAGTAGCTGGGACTGTAGGCACACACCAACAAGGCTGGCTAGGTTTTTGTTGTTATTTGTTTGTAGAGACAGGGTCTCACTATGTTGTCCAGGCTGGTCTTAAACTCTTGGACTCAAGTGATCCTGTCACCTCTGCCTCCCAAGGTGCTGGGATTACAGGCGTGAGCCACCATGCCCAGACCTGTGTGCCTTTCTAGTCGCATTCCTCTTCCATCCCCCAAAAGTAACTATTCTCTTAACTTTCACGACAGTGATTTCCTTGCTTTTTTAATGTTAAGGTTGAACCATATAAAATTACCATTTTTTGGTAGGTCAAAAATCATTGACTTTTTGAAATTTCATATTTTTAACCTAGTAGTTTTTACCAGCTATGTATGGATCTCTAAGCAGTATAGTTTGAGCCTGTTATTGAATATCTTAACTGTATTCTGCTGTATTAGTCTGTTTTCATGTTACTGATATATAAAGAAAAAGGCCGTGCACAGTGGCTCACACCTGTAATCCCAGCACTTTGGGAGGCCGAGGTGGGCAGATCACGAGGTCAGGAGATCGAGACGATCCTGGCCAACATGGTGAAACCCCCCCTTACTAAAATACAAAAAATTAGCTGGGCGTGGTGGCGTGCACCTGTAGTCCCAGCTACTCAGGAGGCTGAGGCAGGGGAATTGCTTGAACCCAGGAGGCAAAGGTTGCAGTTAGCCCAGATCATGCCACTGCACTCCAGCCTGGTGACAGACCGAGACTCTGTCTCAAAAAAAAAAAAAAAAAAAAGGTTTAATGGACTCACAGTTCCACATGGCTGTGGAGGCCTCACAATCATGGTGAAAGGCATGTCTTACGTGGCAGCAGACAAGAGAGAATGAGAGCCAAGTGAAAGGGGTTTCCCCTTATAAAACGATCAGATCTCATGAGACTTACTCACTACCACGAGGACAGTATGAGGGAAACCACTCCCTTGATTCAGTTATCTCCCCCCACAAGACAGAGTTATGGGAGCTACAATTCAAGAGGAGATTTGGGTGGGGACACAGCTGGACAATATCATCTGCATTGTGCTGCTTTCGCTCACTGTGCTGTTGTAGTCAACCAGGCTGTTGCAGATTTCTGATTTTCATTGCTGAATATATTCCAAAATAATGACTACTGCATTTCAAGAGAAATCTATTCCACTGTTGCTGGATTATGGGTTGTGTCTTTATTTGGACTACTTTAACAAAAATACCGGCCAGGTCTGGTGGCTCAGGCCTGTAATCCTAGCACATTGGGAGGCCAAGGCAGGCAGATCACTTGAGCCCTGGAGTTGGAGATTAGCCTGGGCAACATGGCAAAACCCTGTCTCTACAAAAAAAAAATATAAAAATTTGCCAGGCGTGGTGGTGTTCACCTATGGTCCCAGCTACTCACGAGGCTGAGGGGGGAGGATCACTTGAGCCTGGGAGATCAAAGCTGCAGTGAGCTGTGACTGTGCCATTGCACTCCACCCTGGACAACAGAGCAAGACCTTGTCTCAAAAAAACAAAACAAAACAAAAAAAACAATTCTCACATGGGCAAGAGGGGAGAGGGAAAAGGGAGGGAAGCAAGCTCTCTGGTATCCCTTCCTATAAGGACACTAACCCCATTCAGGAGGGCACCACCCTCTTGAACTAATTACCTCCCCAAAGCCCTATCTCCAAGTGCTATCCCACTGGGGATTAGGCTTCAGCATACAAATTTGGGAGGGGCACAAACTTTCAGTCCACAGCAGGCTATCTACAGCTTTGACTCTTGCAGACAGTGTTGCTGTGAAAATCTTTGTATGTGGGTTTCAATGTGTGTAACTAAGATTTCTCCTAAGGATCAGCAAATGATGGCTCACTTTTCTTCTTCTACTCTTTAAATATTTTATTTTGAAATAATTTTACATTTATGGGAGAGTTACGAAGTTAGTGCAGAGAGTTGCTGTATACCCTTTATATACCTTCTCTTGCTTATAAATGTCTTATATAGTTATGATATATTTAAAACAAAGAAATTAATGTTGGTGCAATACTATTAACTACAGACTTTTTGAATTTTATCAGTTTTTCCACCAAAGCTCCTTTTTCTGTCATAGGACCCAATGTAGGATACTCTGTTACATTTAATTGTCATGTCTTTCTAGATATGAAGCAAACTCACCAACTGTAGTATAGTAGGTGCACCACTGTGTATGTAGTTTTTTGTTTTCAGTCTCCTAACATCCAGCCAAAACACTCTTTTCCAGAGCTGCTACTATGTAGCCTTTTGGGTCTGTTTTTATTCACTTAGAAAAACTCTTTTAAAATTCATCCATGTTGTTACATGAATGGTCTGTTCCTTTTTAAAAAATGAGTTGAGCTTCACATAACATAAAATTAACCATTTTAAAGTGAACAATTCAGCGGCATTTAGTACATTCACAGTATTGTACAACCACCATCTCCCTCCAGTTTTAAAATATTTTCATCACTCCAAAAAAACCCCTGTACCCATTAAACAGTTACTCCTCATTCCTGCCCCCACCCCCTCCCCCAGCCTCCAGCCTCTGGCAAGCACCAATTTGCTTTTTGTATCTATAGATTTACCTATTCTGAATATTTCATATGAATGGAATCATACACCCTGTGGCCTCTCTTGTATCTAGCTTCCTTCACTTAACAAAATATTTTTGGCCAGGCACGGTGGCTCACGCCTGTAACCCAAGCACTTTGGGAGGCCGAGGCGGGTAGATCACCTGAGGTCAGGAGTTTGAGACCAGCCTAGACAACATGTGAAACCCCGTCTCTACTAAAAATACAAAATTAGCTGGATATGGTTGCGCAGGCCTGTAATCCCAGCTATTCAGGAGGCTGAGGCAGGAGAATCACTTGAACCCAGGAGGCGGAGGTTGCAGTGCGCCGAGGTCGTGCCATTGCACTCCAGCCTGGGCAACAAGATTGAAACTCCGTCTCAAAAGAAAAAATGTTTTCGCGGTTCATCATGTTGTAGCATGTATCAGAACTTTTTTAATTTAAATTGTAAAGTCTGTATAACATAAAATTTGCCATTTTAATCATGTTTACATGTACAGTTTAGTGCATTAATTAGATTCACAATATTGGGCAACTGTCATCACTCTGTTTCCAAAACTTCATCAGCCTAAACAGAAACTCTGTCCCATTAAGCAATAACTCCTCATTTCCTGCTCCTCCCAGCCCCTGCTAACCTCTAATCTACTTTCTGTCTCTATGAATCTGCCTCTGCTAGATAATTCATATCAGTAAACTACAGGATTTGTCCTTTGTGTCTGATTTATTTTACTTGGCATATGTTCTTAAGGTTCATCCATGTAATAGCATGCATCAGAACGTCAGTCATTTTTTGGCTGAGTAATATTTCGTCATACAGACATACACATTTTATGTATCCATTCGCCTGCTGATGGATAGTTATGTTGTTTTAACCTTTTGGTTGTGGTGAGTAAATGCTGCTCTGAACATTGGCATACAGGTATCTATTTGAGCCTCTGTGTTCAGTTTGATTGGGTATTTAGCCAGGACGGCTTCTTTCACTTAACAAAATGTTTTTGGCTGGGTGTGGTGGCTCACTGGAGGGGAGTAGCTTGCTGACCCCTGGTCTTGAGTGTGTGTCTAGAAATGGAATTACTGGGTCATGCAGGATGCATTGATAATAGTAGGCAGAATCCCAGTGTGCTTAGATCACAGCCTTGACAACACTTGGTTTTATCAGATTTTTTTTATTTTAAGATGGGGTTTCACCAGGTTGGTCAGGCTGTTCTTGAACTCCCGACCTCAGGTGATCCACCCACCTTGGCCTCCAAAATGTTTGGATTACAGGCATGAGCCACCATGCCCGGCCGGTTTTATGAGATTTTTAAATTCTTGCCAATTTGGTCCATGTGTGATGGTGTTCTATTGTGATTTTAATTTGTATTTTCTGATTTCTAATGGAGTTGAACACCTTTTCACATGTTCATAAACCATGTGGGTTTCCTGTTTTGGGATATGCCTATTAACTTTCTTGTTGGTGGTTAGTCTTTTTAAATGAATATTGACTAATTCATATTCCAAATAATGTTTACTCTTTGTGTTTCTGCAGAACAAATAGTGGAGAAAGATGAAGGTCCATATTATACTCACCTGGGATCTGGCCCCACGGTCGCCTCTATCCGGGAACTCATGGAGGAGCGGTGAGTGATGCACAGATGTCCAAGGAGAAATGGGTATGCTGTTAATCAAATGTAGATATTAAGCAGCTCTCAGTTTTCATTGCCTTGTAATAGACAACATACAGAAAGGAAGCCCTGATAACTGGGTTATGGAAGTCTGACTGTGGGATCCTCACTTACATTGTTTCTGAGTTTCTTCATTCTGTAGTTCTGCCCAATTTATGTCCCCCTGCTTCTCTCTGTCTTGAAATGTTTTTATTGAAGAAACATGGTTATATGGCTCTATGTCCTGTAGAGTTAATTTCCCACAGTCTGAATTTTGCTAATAGCTTTCCCATGGTATTGTGGTATCATTAAAAGTGTTTAACATGCCTCTGTGTCCTGTAAATTGGTAGTTAAACCTAAAGCCCTGATTGGGATCAGGTTATTTTTTCTATTTTTTCAAAACTAATTCATAGGTGGAATTTTTTACCTCCCCTAAAAGGAATGCAATATCTCACTCCTGGGCAGTGGGAAGCTATTCAGGTTGTTCCCTAAATCCTTTGGACAGGATCGTAGGAATCTTTCATAGCTTTCTTGATTTCTCATATGACAAGATATCCTGGGTTCACATTGTATGTTTATCCAAGAAGTCCCGGTTCCTTTTATTGGAGGAAAAAGTATTTAGAAAACAGACTCTGCCTGCTAGGGTTACTCATGACCTCACAGTGTTGTTGTTCATTGTTTTAGGCCGCTTAAGTAGAGTCATGTTGAGTCTGTGAATTTTTCATTTTTGTTATTGTTTAGTGATTATATACATCATAAGTTTATATTGACACTCCAATTCAAATTCAGGAATCTAGGATTTCTGTTTGCTAGTTGTGGTTTTTAAGCAGTTCATATAGACAGAGACTTGGAAACCCAAGTGTGTGTCCACGTCAGTTAGTAAACACTCAGAGTTCCAGTGTGTGGCTCTGGGACTGAGAGCAGAGACTTGTGCCAGGTTAAGGCCCAGTCCTGGCCCTGCCACTCACTGCTGGGTCCCTAGCAAGCTGTTCTGCTCTTCTGTGACTCAGTTTTCTTATCTGCAAAATAGAGATGATGATAAAAGCACATACACTGTAGGAGTGTTGTGAGGATAAACCGAATTGATGTGTGGAAACATGTAGTGCTTGTCATGAGTACTACAGAAAAGGTAGATAGTCATTAAGTACCTCACATACAAATGTACTGATTGCATTTTTTAGAACAAACTTTAGCATTTTAATAATAAAAGCTAAGGTGATGCAGATACAGGCATATACTTGCCCACACATATACGTACAGATACATGGAAAGCTGTGTGGCTTAGAGTTCTCACAAATTTGGGAATCAGATTTTGTCTGACCATGGGAGCCTAATACTTTCTTTTTTTTTCTTTTTGGAGACGGAGTCCGCTCTGTCACCCAGGCTGGAATGCAGTGGCACAATCTTGGCTCACTGCAACCTCTGCCTCCCTGGTTCAAGGGATTTTCTTGCCTCAGCCTCCCGAGTAGCTGAGACTACAGGCATGTACCACTACACCCAGCTAATTTTTGTATTTTTAGTAGAGATGGGGTTTCACCATGTTGGCCAGGCTGGTCTCGAACTCCTGACCTCAGGTGATCCACCCACTCGGCCTCCCAGAGTGCTGGGTTTACAGGTGTGAGCTACCATGCCTGGCAAGGAGCCAAATACTCTTGTCTGTGTAGTGGGGAACGCGATTTTGAACTGAATGACTATAACAGCTTCTCTGAATGAATAAAACGTAAGATACATGGAGGACAGTGCTCTGCAGTCATCACTCTTAATTTCCTAGACCATCTGGGAACATTTATATTCACCAATCTGTAAATTCCAGCCTGGTATGAGGGCAGTTCTGAGTCCATGAGCATGAGACAGATTTGATGCTGTGTAAGTGTTGTCATGCTTGCCTGCATGTGCTCACATGCCTGCGTATTGTAATTTGCAGATTAGACCGGGCAGCTTCTGGGCCAGTGATTTTTGTAAGGAATCCTGACACTATCATTTGCTGCTGGGGAGTCAAATGTACAAGTTTGATCTGGGGCAGGTTTTTTGTTCTGGGGTGTTTTGGGGTAACAATTTTATAAGATTTCCAGACAGCTCTCTTAAACAACTTTTCATTTTAGAAAAGTACATTTTGAAACAAGGATCAAGAGATCTTTGAAATTTGGTAAGATAAGGCTGAAATGTGTCTTTTTTTTTTTTTTGCCCCTGATTGCTTTAAAAATAACAGCCAGCTGTAGATTCTTCAGAAACTGATCCAAGGGAGGAATTCCTCTCAAGACCAGGAATACTTGTGTTTTCCCTTAGCAACTGGTTTATTTTTATCTTAAGGACCTTGCAAATCATGTAACAGATTGCATTTCCATCTTTATGTTGCCTGCTAGTAAACTTGGAGCCAGATTTGTGTACCCCATCAGGAGGAAGGTAATTTCTCATCTTTGGCCCATAGAACCTGTTCAGGTTCACTCCTCTGGGTTGTTTGATTTTGTTTTGGTTTTGACATGACCCTAACAAGCCTTTTTTGGATTTCTCATATAACAAGATATTTCAGGCTCATCTTTCAAAAATACACACAAAACCCCACTGATTGCATTTTGTGTACCAACATACCTTTTTTTCTTTCGCCCTTTACTCTAATTTCATCACCTGTTAGTTTAATCTAAGAGACATCTTCATAAGATCCTTTCCGGAACAAGAGGAGTTATGAGTGATTGCTGCAAGTCCGCTGGGTAGGGGTCTAGTTTGTGAATGACGGGTCTAGGCTGTCTCTTTGCCTACCTACACTCGTCCTCAACCCTTTCTCTTCAGGACTGCTCTGCTGTTAGGAGTTGGCTGAAGGCAGAGAGGGGAAATAAACAGAAATCAGGGAAAGTTGGTTCTTTTAACTCTTCCAGTAAAGATTTGGAGAAAGGAGGGGAAGGTCTAAAGCAAATCCTAAAATATCCCAACTTATTTATGGGCTTCATACTTTGTGGGTATCTAGGCCCTTATCTTCACAGATAATTGGAGTCAGTTGTCAAACCCATATCTGAGATGGGTGCACAGCATAGAGCCTCGTGTGTTCTGTCTGGGAAGGAGATTCTCTGCAGCCTAGGAGTTCGTTAAATGCTTGTTCCAGAAACAAAGAACCAACACTGCGCTAGCAGGTTCTGTGAACTTTGGGAGAGCTGGTCTCATTACTGTGTGACAGAGACAACCCTGAAAAAGTAAAGCTTTAGAGCAGTGGTTGTCAGACTTCACTGGGCCTCAGAGTCTCCAGAGGGTTTGTTAAAGCACAGATGACTGGGCCTCACCTGAGTTTCTGACCCAGCAGGTCTGGGATGGGACCTGAGAATTTATGTTCCATACCTAGCAGATTTCTAGGGGATGCTGATGCTGCTGGCCCTGGGACCACCCTTGTAGAGCCACTGTCTTGGATGATCAGTTATCCTTTAGAATAAGATTTTAGGCTATCTATGCAGACTTAGTTTAGGGTCTAATAGTTAATCTGAATACTAGAAAGGCCTCCTCATGATAGGCCAAAAAGTAAGACACTTAAGAAGAAAGAGCTAAAGGGAGAGTTGATTGGCTGTCTTTAAACACAAAGAGACAGTTCTGGGTTTTTTTGTTTGTTTTGTTTTTTAAAGTCTAGCTGATCAGACAGTGCTTGGCCCTTTTATTTGTCTAATTCGAGGTTCACTGCAGGTCACATTTCTCACAGGGGCGGAATGGTGGGGAAGGACCTGGTTGGAAAGTGGTGACAGTGTCCTCAGCTCACCCTCCTGTGAGGAACTCGATAGTGCTTCCGTCTGAGCGAGAGGAGTGTGGTCACCTCAGGCTGTTCTCCCGACAGGGATCACCAGGACACACCAGGGGCCCAGGCCCTGCCCTTGTGGGTAGCTTCCTGATAAACACTTGTTGAAATGAAAATTGTTCAGGAACCAGACAAGAGCAGCATTATATGATCTTTTCCTCTTCATCCAGACCACACTATATAAACTCCTGAGTCCTGTCTCCCAACACTTTCTATAAGGGACAAACAGAGCCTTAGAATTTTAATGTTGTAATTATCAGAAACACTTTTCATCCTTTTGCTAAGGTCTTGAGTGAAATAGAGAACATGGAACTCAAAGGAACCTTAGATTAGCATTTAAAAAAAAATCTTTGTGGCCTGACAAGAGCTTGTTTTAAAAAAATAATTCATTAATTAAAAACATTTAAACTCTGTTTTCTTTTTCAATTATAAAAATGAAACAAAGGCTTTGAAAGAAGTCTAAAGAATGAATAAATCTCTAAAGTTTGATGCTTACCTTTCAGTATTTTCTAAGCATTTACAAAGGTGTATATATGTATATACACAAAGATAAATGTATTAATATGTATATAGAGAAGTTTTAAACCAAATGGCGTCCATCATAATATACCCACTGTCTGTAGCTTGCCTTTTTCCCCCCACTTAATTTCTTCCTATGTCAGTACACAAAACCTAATCATTTTTGATGGGACATGGTTTTTCATTGCATGAAAACTGATTTTATTTTTTTGTGAAATTTATTATAATTTATTTAACCAGTCTCATGTTAGATACTTAAGTTTTTTCATTTTTCTGTTGTTGATGAGACAGTGAATTAGTTTTGTTCCTAAAGCTCTGTGCATTTGTACAGTTATTTCTGGGGTAGAGGTTCCTAGAAGTGGAGTGGATCAGATAAAGAATATGGGTATGCTGAACTGTAGAAGCTATGATAACGTTAATGCTCTGTTAAATAGTATATTAAAATAATATGCCATGATCAAATTGAATTTATTACAGAAATACAAGGGTAGTTAGATTCAGACAAGCTGCTAAAACAGCATGCTATGTTAATTGATCAAAGAAAAAACATTCAATCATCTGTCTCCTTATAAATACATTTATAAAATGTATTTTATAAAAATAATTCTTGATTAAAAGTCCTTAGGAGAGGAGACTCTTAGTGGCACTCTTCAAAGTAAGGAAGTCTGTCTCTTTCCCAAAGTTAGCCAGTTTCCTGCTCAGGGATGAATTGTTGGAAACATTTTCAGTAAAGTCAGAAAATAAGCAGAGATGCCTGCAAGCCCTTCAGAGAGCACCTGGTCAGTTCAGAGAGACAAGAGTCAGGCTAGAGATATGAAGAATGGAAAGTAGTAGGTGGCAAATGGCCATTATCTGCAGGTGATATGACATTGCACCTGAAACTAAAACACTGCTAAAAATAAGATTCTGTAAGATGGCTTTTACATTATTAAAAATAATCACTATTTATTGGGCTCTTCTTTCATGCCAGAAACTTCAAAGCACTTTAAATAATATACTCCCTGTGGACTGTTGTTTGATCTTTCCAAGCCCAGGAGGCAGGGACCATTTTAATCTCCATTTTACAGATGAGAAAACTGAGGCTTAGAGAAGTTTAGTAATTTGGCCACAGTTATATAGCAAGAAGGTGGCAGGGCTGGCATTCAAACTTAGTCTGTCTGATATCCTGTGCTTAGACCACTGCTGCCTCTTTGTAGTTGTGTGGCCTTGGACAAGTCATTTCAGCTCCAGGAGCCATAGTTGTACCATCTCTGAATATAGTGTGGTTGTTTAGACGGTCCTAGGGAGCTGGGATTCTGAAGTCCTGAGTGTGTGTGTGTTGGGGGGGTGGGCAGGGCAGGTGGCGTGTGCAGGAACCAGATGTGTGTACTGTCCAGGGGAACCTCAGAGCTGGCGTTCGGGCTTAGTAGAGCTGCTTCTCCTTGGCCTCAGCTGTTTGTCATCATCATGGTCCAATGTCAGCTGGGGATTATTCAAAGAGAACAATAAAGGTTCCCCCATTTATTTTATTGTATTTATAAATAGCTAACTCTCAGGGTGACTCCTCTAACAGGGCTGGATACAAATGCCTGTGTTTAGCCTTTGGTTTCAGTTCCCTTCTGGAGCTCGGAGGTAACAAGACATTCTGCTTGACTGTCCTTCTGCCCTGGATCAGAGGGGGCCTGATGGACAGGAGCAGAGAAGGAGCAGGTGAACCTGGAAGCCCAGAAGTGGCCACTGTGTCTCCAGAGCCTTTAGGTACCAAATAACATTTAAACCTTTTCTTCTCTGTTGCCCTGACAGTAACCAGAAACTCAAACAAAAGCACACTGAGGCTGCCTTCTGACTGAAAGTTGTTCTCCTTTGGAGTTCTGCTGTGTTAATGGTAGCTTCTGTCTCCCCCTTCAGGTATGGAGAGAAGGGGAAAGCCATCCGGATTGAGAAGGTCATCTACACGGGGAAGGAGGGAAAGAGCTCCCGCGGCTGCCCCATTGCAAAGTGGGTGAGTGTTGAGCCCACCCAAGAGCCATGGCTGTGTCTGGTTGCCCTTGCTGCATGTAGCTGAGCGGGTGGGGGTGGGGGTGGGGGTGGGGGCCGGGGCGGGGCAGGGGCTGGGGCCAGGGGTGTGTGTTGTGTGTGTGTAGAAGACGACATGTTGACTGTCCAGGGGATCCTTGGAGCTGGAATCTGGCTCAGGGTTGGGATCATTTCTCCCAGCCTCAGTTGTTTGTCCTCATCTTGTTTAAATGCCAGTCCCTGGGTCTTGGGCTGGCCTTGGAAGAAGTGTGAAGCCGTTAGTCTTCACACTCGGCTCATTCTGTCCCCATGGCTCAGGGCTGTAGGGGTAGGAAGGGGGAAACTGGGATGCTGTCATGACTCTATGCTGGGCCCCCCAGTGGACTGTCAGCCGCCTCATCCCCTTCCATGTGCCCTGGAGCTGCTAGTGCTTCTGTCTGCTGCCTGGAAGCCAGGGGCAAACCTGAAGGCTGGCATGCTGAGATCCAACCTGAGGGAAGAGGCCAGGCCTCCAGGCAGCACTGTGGGCCAGTCTTGCCCCTGCCCTGCTTCTAAGGAATTTCCTACCAGGCAGCCTGGACATCTCTGCAGGGAGAACTTCAGTAACTCAGACCCCAAGTCACCAAACAGAGTCCTTCTGACCTTGCCCTCCCAGTCCACAGGGAGATCTTTAAATAGCAGAGCATCTGCCTCTGCAGAACAAATGTTGAGGAGGAGCAGCCAGGTTCCTTAGGTGCCTGTAAGCTCAGCCTCACGCTGTATTGGGCAGGGGGGTATGGGTGGAAGACGAGGGCTCCGTCCCTGTGTTCAAGCTGTTTGTGCTCCAGAGACACATGACATAAAGTCATGGAGATGGGGATGACTGAGAGGCAGACCTGGTGCTGTGGTTCAGAGGAAGAGGAATGCTCAGGCTAGGTTTCCTGAGAAGGTGGGAGTGCGGGGGCTGTGAACACTGGGCCGTTATTAGTCAGGCTGAGGAGAGGGAGGAAGCATTCCCAGTGAGGAGACTCATGTGGCCAGAGGCAGAGAGGCTGGGTGGACAGACCCATGGCTGACTGTGTGAGGGAGGCTGGTAAGATAACCCGTCAGCACATGTCCTTCTGTGCACACGCCCGTCTTTACCTGGGCTACACCCTGTGCCTTTGTGTCTTTGTGTTTGATGGAAAAAAAAGTGAACTTGAACTACCAAGCTTACTATTTTTAGCAATTTTTAGTCAGCATTGCAGGATAATATACAACCAAAGAACCTGGAACCACTTAGTGTATTCACAAGTATGAAGAAGCAGGCTACCCCTACCCTCATGAGAGGTGGTCACTGCAGTGAGAGGTCTGATGTGGCTGATCATGGTGAGGTGTTACCTTCCCAGAGAACTCATCAGAGAAATGACATCAGCCGTAGAGTGACAGCTGCCCCTTTTGCCTGCTAATTCATGCAGTTGTTGAGGAACTCCAAAGTCTTGGACATAAAAATGAAAATCTTGGGGCAGAGGTAGAGTTGGAGACTCTTCCAGCTTCAGTAAAGTTGGCCCCTTAAAGAACAGCTGGCCCTGTGGGTGGCATTAAAGAAGATGCATTTGTAGACCCCGGATACAGTGCTAAACCCTGGCCAGGGTCCCTGTGGCCCCACTGAGGGCTGGGAAGCACATGTGTGCCTGGAGACCAGGGCCCGTGCCTGGAGACCGGGGCCAGTTCCTGAAGCTGGGAGAGGAAGACAGGAGGCTGGAGGGGCAGAAACTTGGTCCCCAGTATGCCATTGCTCTGGGGTTTGTGGACAGATGCCCAGAGCCGGGTGCATGGGGTGCAGTGAACTGGAGGTCACATCCAAGGAGGGAAAGGAGGGAACAGCTTGTGGGTATCACTGAGCCCTGGTGGATTAGCATAGAAAGGAATGCGTGGTGATAATGTTTGCAGAGGGTGGAACTCTTCCCATGTCTGATGAGTGAAAAGAAGAGGAAAGATCATTTTTTATGGGAGGAGCAAATGGGTGGTCAATCACAGAACTATTGTAGTGGCAAGAAAATGGCAGTACTGGGGGCTGCTTTGTTTTTCTTTTCTAGCCATCTCCTTTAGTGTGATGGATTTCTCGGGTTTTCTTTTGGCTACACAGCTCCCAAATACCCTATGTATTTTGGTGAGAAGGCTCAGTTTAAAGAATTCCACCTCCTTTGTAAGTTGGAGAGGGGTTGGGTGCGCCTTCTCCCTGCTACGCTGGGGAAAGTGACCCACAGATGCTTAGAAGAATGGATTATTCTTGGTGGCAGTGTAGTGTCAGGAGCCTAGAGCCGGCTCTGTGGCCACGGGTAAGTTCAGGCATCCAGCGCCTCCTGGTCCCGTGTCCAGAGCCTGGCTTTTGTTTTCCAACCAGGATTTGTGTCTGTGTTTCAGCCTCTCCCAAGCCCCCAACCAGTACCTTCAGCTTAAAGCAGTGTGCCTTATACGTTTTGCACTTGACTTACAGAGTCAAGGCACATCATGGGTGCCCAGCAAATATGTGTTGAAAGAATGACCTAAGAAGCAGTGGGTCAGCCCAGAGAGCCTTCTGGTCATCTGTGATTTTAAGGTGGCCTGTATAAAATATGGAAGATTCCAGGCGTGCCCCGGTTTTGCACTCTGAAGGCTCAAACAACAGAGGCATGCCAAAGACAACATCTGGGACAGCGAGATGGGCTCTGGGAAATGAACTCCAGAGATGCTGCCCAGACCAGTGTGTAAAGGTCACAGAAGTCAGAAGGCAGGTATTTGTAGGCTTACTGGGGACACAGTGAAGCAGACTTAGGAAGCTGCATGTGTTGGAACCAAGCACCATGGGTGAGCTATGGGAAGGCAGGGTTGGGGTTCTGCTGGGGGTTGTGTTACCCTTCGTCTGGTGCTCAGCAAATTCCTGCCCAGAAGCTGGATGAGCTGTTAAGGATTCTGTGGCTGAGTTGAAGCTGTCTCTGTTGTTCTGCTCAGGTATGGAAGTATTTGTGCCTCTGTCCACCTTTGACTTTGACAGTCCGCCCTACCAGACTCCTTCATAGGAGTGTGGGCAGGGAGCTCTTCTGTGCTGTTTTCTTAGTTTTTTTTTTAGTGCGCCCGCAGGCCTGTGAGGATGGGCCACAGAGCTATCTGCTTGTGTCTAATGACATTGTGTGTTTGCCATTTGGGAAACCAGAATGGCACGGCCTCAGTCACAGCCACGACTGGTTGGGTGACTTTTGTGCTCTGAACACCTCTCCCATGAGTGTGATTGGCTGCGTTACCCTGGCCGGGAGTGGAAGTTAACCGTAGTGCCTCGCAAACCCTAGTCACAGAGCCTGCTGCCTTATCAGCGTCCACAGATGTGTGTCGATGCCCGTGATGCACTCAGCCTAATCTGCAGGAAGCCAGGCAATCATGCAGGGAGTTCTAGCACAGTATCTATTTAATATCATGTTGAGGTGTTACTGATACCCAAAATACACATTTCAAAAGATTGATATACTTGATACTTTAGTGGGGAAGCACTGTTCTCGCTGTGCCTCAGAACAGGAAGGAACTCATGGCCAGAGATGTGCTTTGTTCAGCCTGCAAAGTATCCTTTCAGAGTCTGAAGGAAATGCTGACACATGCTACAACATGCGTAGGACTGTCCACTAAGTGAAATAAGCAAGTCATAAAAGGATAAATCCTGTATGATTCCACTTACGTGAGGTACTTAGAACAGTTAAATTCAGAGACACAAAGTAGACCAGGCACGGGGTCTCACTTTGGGAGACTGAGGCAGGCAGATCACCTGAGGACAGGAGTTCTATACCAGCCTGGCCAACATGAGGAGACCCTGTCTCTACTAAAAATACAAAAAATTAGCCAGGCATGGTAGCATGTGCTTGTAATCCCAGCTATTCTGGAGACTATTGGTGGGGAGAATTGCTTGAGCCTGGGAGGCAGAGGTTTCAGTGAGCCGAGATCATGCTACTGCACTCCAGCCTGGGCAATAGAGCAAGACTCCATCTCAAAAAGAAAAAGAAAACAAGAAACAGAGGCAGAAAATAGAATAGTGGTTACAGGAGGGGAGAATGGAGAGTTTCTTAATGAACAGAGTTTGTTTTGCAAGATGAAAAAATTTCAGAGATGGGTGGTTAGTGATTGTTGCACACAATATGAACAATACCTGATGTGAAGGTACCTAATGTCATTCAACTGTGTACTTTGAAATGATTAAAATGGTAAATTTTTGTATATTTTACCACAGGAAAAAAAAATAATGGAACACTCATGTTTTTGGAGAGGGATTTTGTCTACAAATCTGGAATTCCGTTTTTTTTCTTGCAAAACTGGAAGAATTAACCTCACTGGGCTGGAATTTCCCCCAGGCGGCAGTTGATGGCAAGAAGGCCTGGCTTCTCCCTGTTGGCGGGGCAGATGCTTTTCACTTTGCCGCGGTCCACACCGCCCCCTAGTCTTGCATCCGGCCCACCTTCCTCACTTGTAGTGCTTGCTTGGCCACCCCATTCAGTGTCTCCCAGCACGGACCCAGTCATGACCAGGTCTGTCTGCAACCCTGCATCTCCTGACCTCCAGACCCACTCTGGGGGGCATCCTTAGAGACCACTCAGGTGCTCTAAGGCAGTGGTCCCCAACCTTTTTGGCACCTGGGACTGGTTTTATGGAAGACAATTCAGGCATTAGATTCTCATAAGGAACGCACAACCTAGGTCCCTCGCATGTGCAGCTCACAGTAGGGTTCATGCTCCTATGAGGACCTAAAGCCACTGCTGATCTGACAGGAGGTGGGCCTCAGGCAGTAATACCCACTCGCCTGCTGCTCACCTCCTGCTGTGCAGCCCAGTTCCTAACAGGCCACGGACCCAGTACTGGTCTGTATCCAGGGGTCAGGGACCCCTGCTCTGAGGTACTTCAGCCTCAGGGTGCTCCCAGTTAACTCACCAGTAAACCACGCCCAGTCACTCAGGGTTTTTCCTTGTCCCTTGGCCTCAGGAATCCATTCCTTCTCCCACTTCCTTACCCCCTGCCGTGGTTAGGACTTTATTCATTTTTCTTGTGTTATGTCAGTGGTGTACCCGGTGGTCTCCCCATCTTGCCCTTTTCCCGATTTTCTGCCCTGCCTTTCTAAAGCATGAAACGCTTTTTTTTTTTTTTTTTTTTGAGATGGAGTTTTGCTCTTATTGCCCAGGCTGGAGTGCAATTGCACAATCTCAGCTCACCACAACCTCCACCTCCTTGGTTCAAGTGATTCTCCTGCCTCAGCCTCCTGAGTAGCTGGGATTACAGTCTTGCTCCACCACACCCAGCTAACTTTGTATTTTTAGTAGAGATGGGGTTTCTCCATGTTCGTCGGGCTGGTCTTGAACTCCCGACCTCAGGTGGTCCACCCACCTTGGCCTCCTATAGTGCTGGGATTACAGGTGTGAGCCACCACACTCGGCAGCATGAAACTCTTTATGTAAGCCCCCTGCTCACCATCCTGGGTGGAGCCCCTGCCTCGAGGCCCTTCCCCCTTGGAGCCCTTCCTAGTCTACCCTCATCCTTCCCCTGCCCACAGGCCCCCACATCTTATCTGGTCACAGAATCACCTGGCATTCTCTGGCAATTTTCAGCCACCTCCTTCCCCAGCTCCCAGGCCTCTTGGCTCTGAAATCTTTTTGTCAACCAGGACGGTGTTTGGGAGTGAGTGAGAACCCGGACCCCCAACCTAGATCCTGAGCAGCAGAGCGGTTGATACCCAGGGCTCTTGCTTTTTTTTTTTTTTTTTTTTTAAAAGCTCTTTTGAGTTATAATTCTCGTACCATACAGTTCAAACTCATTTGAAGCATACAATTCAATGATTTTTGGTGTAGTACATTTTTTAAATTGTGGTAACAATATATAAACAGAAGCTGGGCGCAGTGGTTCCTGTCTGTAATGCTAGCAATTTGGGAGGCTGAAGCAGGAGGATCATGTGAGCCCAGCAGTTCAAGACAAGCGTGGGCAACATAGTGAGATCCTATCTCACTTGATCTTAGCCAAAAGGCCGAGAAGCAGTGAGACCCTATCTCTTAAAAATTTTTAAAAAGTAGCCGGGCATGGCTGCGTGTACTTGTACCCCTAGGTAATCAAGAAGGCTGAAGTGGGAGGATCACTTGAGCCCAGGAGTTCGAAGCTGCAGTGAGCTATGATCATGCTATTACACTCCAGCCTGGGCAACAGAGCAAGACTCTGACTCAAGAAAAAACGTGTGTGTGTAGAAATAAAATCTAACATTTTAACCATTTTTCAGTGTACAGGTTGGTGACATTAAAACATTCACATTGTGGTACAGCCCTCACCATAGTCTATTTCTAGAACTTTTTCAACATCCCATACTGAAACTCCACACCCATTAACAGTAATTCTCCATTCTCCCCTCTCCCAGGCCCTGGTAAGCTCTAATCTACTTTCTGTCTCTCTGAATTTAACTGTTCTGGGTACCTCCTATAAGTGAAATCATATACTATGTGTCCTTTTGTGTCTGCTTATTTCACTTAGCAGGTTTTCAGGGTTCATCCATGTTGTAACATGAATCAGAATTTTGTTTCTCTTTAAGGCTGATTGAGTCTTGTCTGTACCACATCGTACTTACCTGTTCATCAGCCGATAGACACTGGGGGTGCTTCCACCTTTTGGCTGTTGTGAATAGTGCTGCAGTGAACGTGGGTATTTAGGGATCTGCCCGTGTCCTGCTCTCAGTCCCTCAAGTGTATTCCTAGGCATGGAATTGCTGGATCATATGGTAGTCCTATGTTTAGTTTTTGGAGAAACTGCCAGACTGTTTTCCATAGTGCCAAACCCCTTGCTTTTTAACTAAAACATGCAGGTATGCAGCGTTTTCTCTGCAAATGCTTTAGGATACATAAAAATTGGACTGTATTTTGGCTTACAGTGTTTATCCATGTATTTTTACTCCTAAGCCTATGTAAGTCATCAGCAACTTAAACTTTGTGCTAATTATTTTTTACTTCACTCTCAAAAAAAAAAATAACATTTATGTTTTTGTCCCCTAACTATAATGGTCTCTTAGCCTGTAGAGGTTGCTGTCGTCAGGGCATGATACCCCTGGTACCTTGCCCTAAAGACCTGCGCCCTGGGTCCATGTGACAGAGGGAGGGATGGCACCATGCAGAGGAGCACAGGTGCCTGTCTCCTGCCCCTCACACCCTGCGTCCCCACAGGTGATCCGCAGGCACACGCTGGAGGAGAAGCTGCTCTGCCTGGTGCGGCACCGGGCGGGCCACCACTGTCAAAATGCCGTGATCGTCATCCTCATCCTGGCCTGGGAGGGCATCCCCCGTAGCCTTGGCGACACTCTCTACCAGGAGCTCACCGACACCCTCCGGAAGTACGGGAACCCCACCAGCCGGAGATGCGGCCTCAATGATGAGTATGTAGCAGGGGGCTGCAGGGCCAGGGCCCGGGCCCACCCATAGAATCACAGGAGACTTCGGGCAACCCCAGGGAAGGCTCCTGCCATCTCTGCAGCACTGTGTGTCCTGCACAGTTAGGACTGTGGTTGAGGAAGGTTTTTCCATAGGTCTTGCTTGAGCTGGGTTCTAGCTCAGGCTTCGGAGGGTCTGCTAACTTGACTTCGCTGTTAAACCCCAGGTCAATGTACTGGCCACTAATGATGTTAGCAAGTGTGAAGTACATGTGCCCCAAAGATAGAAGGTATCAATGATATTTGCAAAACCTGCCCTTTAATTGGAGTTTTTCCCATTTAAAAAAATGAAGGTATATTTATTTACAATAAAATTCGTCCTTTTAGGTATATAGTTCGGATAGTTTTGACAAATGTTTACGGTCACGTAGCTACCACCACCACTATCAAGATACACAACAGGGCCGGGCCTGGTAGCTCATGCCTGTAATCCCAGCACTTTGGGAGGCTGAGGCTGGTGGACTGCCTGAGGCCAGGAATTCGAGACTAGCCTGGCCAAAGTGGCGAAACCTGGTCTTTACTAAAAAATACAAAAATTAGCCAGGTGTGTTGGCACATGCTTGTAATCCCAGCTACTCAGGAGGCTGAGGCACGAGAATCACCTTAACCCAGTAGGCAGAGGTTGCAGTGAGCTGAGATTGCGCCACTGCACTCCAGCCAGAGCAACAGAATGAGACTCCGTCCCAAAAATAAAAAGATACAGAACAGTTTCATCTTCCCTGCAAGTCTCCCGTGCCCTTTATCAGCAAGCCCTCCCCTAGCCCTGGGCAGCCAGCAGACTTGTTTCCTGTTCCTGTAGGTTTGCCTCTGCAAGAATGTCACATAAATGGGATCGTACAGGGTGTAGCTTTCCGAGCCTGGCTTCTTCCGTTGAATGTAGTGTTTTCAGTGTTCATCTGTGTTGTGTATGTTAGTACCTCATTCCTTTTTATCACTGAGTCATAATCCACTGTGTGGATCTGTCACAATTCGCTTATTCATTCCCCAGTGAGGGGCATTTGGGTTGTTTTTCCTGATTGTATTAAGCAGTAATTTTCATCTTACTATACTTTGTTGAAAAGCCTGTTAACATCTGGGCTGTGGGAAATAGGCACGCTCAAATCCTGGGGCTCACGTCCTTTCCCTGTTCATATGGTGTATGTTGGAGACGTTTAAGATATTAGAATTAAGGGAAAGTATAAACCTTCATGGGTTTTTACCAGATTCTTCCTCCTTACTTCAGTAAACCCATGTGCTGCTCCCAGCAAGACTCAGTGTTAGGCCTGTAGGTTCTCAGTGGTGGGGGCAGAAGAGGCTGCTTTAGAGCTGCCATTGTACTCAAAGAAACTTGAGAAAGAGGTTGGGGGAAGAGAAGGGTGAGTCCCAGTCACTGGGAGGCTGGTGGATGCCAGGGGTCAGCACAGCCACCCCTTGAGGGAGGAGAAATACTCCAGAAAGAAGGGATGTCGCAACTATACACCCGACCTGTGCTGTTATGTTGCAGCCGGACCTGCGCGTGCCAAGGCAAAGACCCCAACACCTGCGGTGCCTCCTTCTCCTTTGGTTGTTCCTGGAGCATGTACTTCAACGGCTGCAAGTATGCTCGGAGCAAGACACCTCGCAAGTTCCGCCTCGCGGGGGACAATCCCAAAGAGGTGAGCAGAGCTGGGCGGGAACCCTGCCTCCCATCCTTTCTCGCCTGGCACCCTTAATAGTCCAGCGGGAGGTAGGGCTGGCACGCCATGACTCAGATGCGCAGGAAGTGGAGCTTGTTTTAGTTTTTTTAAAAGCTGACTTTATCTTACTGTGAAATAAGGGGTGTGGGATGTGTGGAGGGCACCAAGTGTGAAAAATTAGACTTAGCAGTTACAGGTGCCCCAGACCCTTCCCATTTAAACCATCTCTTTTAGGCAAATATTCCAGATATTGAAGATACATATTCAAATTCCTCATGAGAATTTGGCCTTCTCAGAGGTCATTTCCCTCATCTTCCCAGGTCATCTTTCTGGGTGTGAGGTTTAGCAGGAAAGGCGGTCTGCGTTGCATGGGCCACCCTCTGGGTCTTTGCTGTACTTCCCGAGGCATCTACCACCCTGCCTGGCTGCTGGACAGACGCTGGGCAGTCATCCGGGCCCTTGCGCTCTCCATGTCGGGAACCTGGCCTGGTCCCTGGGCTCTGGACTGGCGCCCACACAGTATGGCCACTAGATACAGCACCTCCTCTTTGCAGGCTTCTTACCTGCGCCCCTGCCTGCAGGGCCTCCCCCAGCCCTGAAACAACAAGGGAAGGCGCCCTCAGGCCCCCTCCCTGCCGTTTCTCCTCTGAATGCCTGCATGGTAAAGGCCCTCCCGGGAGGTGGTCTCCACTCAGCTCCAAATGCAGGGAAGGTGCAAGCCTGTCCAGGCTGTCTGCCATTTCACCTCCCTACTGCCTGGGCTCCTGAGTGGGTGGGGTGCTGGCTCCCTTTGCTCGGATACAGACCAGTATCTAAATATCTGGACTCAGTCCCAACCTTCCAAATCTCTCCAAGCTCCTAGTACCAGAAGGGCTTCCCACTTGCCATGGCGCACGGACATCCTCTCCACACCAACGCCCATTTCACCTGCTGTGCTCTGACTGCCAAGCTCAGGTCCTCATAAGGAAAAGCAAGCATTTTAAAATTCAGAACTCTTTATTTACCCCAGACCTGGGTTTTAGACTATTGTGTGACCCACAAATTGTCTAATTTGTTACTAGATTTGTATTTACGGTAAGATCCACCCTCCCCCATGAGCAGCAGATGCAGTTGCTTCAATGAATGGAGCCCTGGGGCCACCAAGACCTATGAACTACCATGAATGGAAAGACATTGGCTTAATTTCTCTCAAATCCTTTCCCTGTTCCACCAGCTGCCACGTCCTGTGCTCTTGCGATATGCTAAGTACTGTGCCAAGCCCCTCACAGTTTTCTCAGATGGCTTCCTCAAGGCCATGTGGCTGATGGTGAAGGCAGGATTGAAACCCAGGCCTATGTGTCCCTAGAGCTCACAAGCCTCACTGCATGCTGTGCTGGTGGCAGCATCTGGACAGCAGGCAGGGAGGTGTCCTGGCCTTCCTGGCCTCCCTGGCCTCCCTGGCCCAGGCTGGCCTGGTCAAGAGTGGCTGGCAGCCCTGGTCACCCCACTGGATGGACAGCTGAGCTGTGGGTCTCTACCTTCCGTTTCTCATTCTGTGTGCTTTATTCTTTTTCTCTCTCCTCTCTTCCTGCTTTCTTCATAAACCCTTTGTGCCTGTGCTCATGGTGTCCTAGGATCCCTTCAAGCCCTGCTTGTTTTTGGAGGGCCAGAGTCTGTGGACTCCTGGAACTCTCTGTCACATGTGACCAGGGGCTGCTGCTTCATGTAGAGCAGTGCTGTCCCACAACACTTTCTGTGATGGTGGAAACATTCTCTGCTGTCCCTACAGGAGCCACATGTGGCTGCTGAGTATTTAAAATGGACTAGTGCAACTGAGGGACTGAATTTCTTTAATTTTTATTAGAATTCAGCCCAGGCGCAGTGGCTTACACCTGTAATGCCAGCACTTTGGGAGGCCGAGGCAGGTGGATCACCTGAGGTCAGACCTCAGGCAAAACCCTATCCCTACTAAAAATACAACAGAAATTAGCTGGGTGTGGTTGGGGGCACCTGTAATCCCAGCTACTTGGGAGGCCGAGGCAGGAGAATCACTTGAACCCAGGAGGTGGAGGTTGCAGTCAGCCAAGATCGTGCCACTGCACTCCAGCCTGGGTGACAGAGTGAGACTGTCCTAAAGAAAAAAAAGTTAGAATTCACCTGTATTTCTGTAGCTACATGTGGCTTGTAAATAACACATTACATAGTACGAGCCTAGCGGCTGGAGATTTGAAGTCTGTCTGTGTCCTTGGCTCGTGGCAGGCTCTGGGCTGGGCTGGCTATGGAATTTCTAGCATGGATCCTGCCTGCCTCTCTTCCTGTCTGTAGCCTAGGAGGCAGGAGCCACACTTGGTCCTCATGGCTTTTTCATTTCCACTGTGCCACACCCTTGACCTAGGGTGTTCAGCATTCAAAAGCAAGAAACTGTTTGATGTGTTCTGGGCTGAACTGGGCGGGAGCCTAAAGGAGCAGTAGTTTAGCAGTCAGGATGACGAGACCTTCAGGCCATGGCTTCCACAGCTTTTCCTGGGAGCCTCAGTGTCCTCAGTTGTGAAATGGACATGGCACCACAGCCCTCCTGGAGGAAAGGCGGGGAAGACACCTGATGACACCTCCTTCCGGCCTCCCCCGCGATGCTTCAGGAATGCCGGTCCATTTCCAGGGTGCAGCGTCTGCCAGGTGGGCTGCTCTGGATATGTGACTGCTCCTCTCCCCGCAGGAAGAAGTACTCCGGAAGAGTTTCCAGGACCTGGCCACCGAAGTCGCTCCCCTGTACAAGCGGCTAGCTCCTCAGGCCTATCAGAACCAGGTAATGGGTCCCGGGCCTTTTGCTGCCCACATGTCACCGTCCACATCTCTGCTCAGGCTCTGAAGGTGGGAAGTGGGAGAGTGGGCTCATTTGCTCTCTTACGGGAAGAGCCCAGCCCAGAAGTAAAGTGATGATGTCATTCTTTGATGAAACTCCCCCCCCCCCTTTTTTTTTTTTTTGGAGACAGAGTCTTGTTCTGTCGCCAGGCGCCAGGCTGGAGTGCAGTGGCACAATCTTGGCTCACTACAATCTCTGCCTCCCGGGTTCAAGCAATTATCCTGCCTCAGCCTGAGTAGCTGTGACTATAGACGTGGGCCACCATACCCAGCTAATTTTTGTATTTTTTTTTAGTAGAGACAGGGTTTCACGGTGTTGGCCAGGATGGTCTCTATCTCTTGACCTCATGATCCACCCGCCTCAGCCTCCCAAAGTGCTGGGATTACATGTGTGAGCCACCGCACCCAGCTGAAACCCCTTTTTTACACCAGGCTACCTGCATCCCACACTGTTCCTCTTCTATCCTGGTCTTCCCCCTTCCCCTGGTAACCTGCCACCTACTCTGGTCTGGTTTCCACTGGTGAGGCTCGAGTTTCTCTCCACTGTCACACCTGCATCTCCCAGACAAGGCAAAGGGACTTGGGATAACCCAGAAGGAAGTAATTCCTACAGGAGCCCTAAAGTAACTTTTTTGGAGCTGGGGCCTAGCCTCTCAGCCAGAAAGCCTCCCTCCTGCAGTTGAAGGGCAAGGTGACGATGATCCTTTACATCCCTCCTTCCAAGACCCAGCCTCCTCAGTTGCAGAATCGGGGCCACTCACCTTAGGTGATGTGAGCACCTCTCCTTGGCCATCTACACAGGTGACCAACGAGGAAGTAGCGATTGACTGCCGTCTGGGGCTGAAGGAAGGACGGCCCTTCGCAGGGGTCACGGCCTGCATGGACTTCTGTGCCCACGCCCACAAGGACCAGCATAACCTCTACAACGGGTGCACTGTGGTAAGGAAGCCTGTGCCCTGTCACAGCCCCACCTGTGGGGCGACTGTGGGAGGGAACCCAGTGTGGTCTGTGCAGAAAGACAGGCTGAGGGTAGGGAGGGACATGAAGACAGGACCCTCAGAACTCTGGAAGGTGCCCTGCAAGACAGCCTGCTCCTGCCCACCTCCCAGAGAAAACCCTCGAACAGACAAGGCTATTTTTGTGTCTGTGTCTTAGGGAGATGCTGGAGGATGCAGCCCCTTGGGCACCTGAAGTGCCCAGTATCTAAAGCATGGGTCCTGGTCTCTGTGGACACTTGGATTTAAACGCAGACAAACCCTTGATTCATTCTTTGGACAAATGTGTATTGAGTACCAGCTGTGTCCAGGCACTGCTCTCCGTGCTGCAGGATGAAACGAACACAGTTCCTGCCCAAGTATGTGAGGGAATGTCCTGTAGCAATGAAGGGCCAAGAGGGAAAAATGAAGCAGAGTGAGGGACAAAGCGACAGGAGATGCTACTTTGGATGAGAGGCTGCTCTGAGGAGGGGACATTTGAGTTGAGACGTGAGTTGAGACGCAAGAGAATGAGGGAGCCACTGTCTGGGAGTAGAGTGCTCCAAGCAGAGGGACCAGCATGCACACAGGCTCCAAGTGGGAAGCAGGCTGGGTGTGTGTTCAGGGAACAACGGAAAGGGAGTAACAAGGGGCGGGGGAGCGGGATTGGAGAGGCCAGCAGGGACCAGCTCACAGGGAGCCTTGAGGGCCAGGTGAGGGTTGCAGGGTTTGCTGTAAATGTGATGGGAAGCTGTTGAGAGCTTCTCAGCTGGGCAGCAGTAAGGTTGCATTGTAAAGTTAGACACACTCTTGCTGCTGCAGTTAGAGAATGAGGTGTGTGATGGTGGGGTCAGGGTGAGGCAGACGGGAGGGAATAGGTGGAAGAATGAGGTGTGTGATGGTGGGGTCAGGGTGAGGCAGACGGGAGGGAATAGGTGGAAGGAGGCCAGGGAGGAGGCTGGGACAGCCGTCCAGGCCGGAGGAGACACAACTTGGGCAGGAGTAGGGGCAAGTGCTAATGGGACAGATTTTGGATGCTGTGTAAGGGACCGCCAAGAGAACTGTGTAGTTGTTACATGAGCAGGACTTGAGGAGCACACCAAGGCTTTTTGCTTGAGCATCTGGGTGCGTTGGAACATTGACTGAGATGTAGAGTAGCAGGGAAAGGCTGAATTTAGGAGTAAGAAATCAAGAAGCCTGTTTCAAGACGCCTGCTACACATGCAGGTGGAGATGTGGATAGGCAGGGGCGGGAGGGTCTGGAGAGCACATGGTTTATAGTTAGAGCCGTGAAGCTGATGCCATCACCAGGAGAGTGAGTGCGGATGGAGAAGAGAGAGGTTGGACTTGGGTAGGGGCTTCCTTGAAGAGATGATGCTAGCTCTCTGCTCTTCTTTTAGCCAGGTTCTGGGCAGACAGGGCTTCCAGGGGCTGAGGAAGAGGCAAGGGCACCAGCACATTCACCTGGAAAAAGGGCTCCCAGATTCCAGGCGTAGCTCATGCCCCCTGGGGATTGATGGCCCCACCTCATGATTTCATTTCTCTACTTGTCTTCCATCCCCATGTCCAAGACTGAGAAGCAAGAAGGGGCAGCTCCTGCCAGCACTCTGTTGTGAGGATTTCTAGGTAAAATACACGGAAAGGGGAGGCCCACAGGGTTAGAGAGGCGGAGGAGCCGGGGGGCACTGGAAGGTGGGTGACAGCAAAAGCACCATGAGGTGATCTGGACCCCAGAGCTTCTAGAGTTTGGGGTAGAAAAAAGGACTATTTTCTTCCAAAATGGAAAGCATTATTTTTTCCTAAAGAGTAACTACTCATTTTTTAAAATTTTAAATAATATTTAAAAGGTTGCCTGAAATCTCAGAGATAACTAGTTAGCAGTTTGGTGAGCATCCATTCAGATACCCAAATATGTATGTGTATGTATATGGCTTTATGAAATTTTACCCTAATGGGGTCACATTATATATACATGCTGTTCTATGACCTGCTTTTCTTAACTCAAGCTTTCTGTGTCAATGGACTTCATTTTCTGAGGCTGTGTGTATGGCTCTGCCATCATTTATTTAACCAGTCCCCTATCAATGGACAGTAAGTGCTTTCAGCCATTTCCCTTCTGTAAACCACAGGGAGAGGCCATTCTTCTCATGTATTTGTGCAGTGGCACAGTAACCTCCTTGAGATTGCATTGATGTTTACTTTTACAGGCTTGGGGCACTAATTCTGCTTGCTTGGCAACACTGGATTTAGGTGGTCTCTTTCATCTTTGCCTGCTGCCTGACTGGGAAGCATACGATCTCATTTTAATTTGTGTTTCTTTTGTTACTAGAGAGGTTGAACATTTTTTCCTGTTTCTTCTTAACCATTTTAATTTCATGTTTGTGACTCTCCCATTCATGTACTTATTTTTTTAATCAGGATAGCCTTACCTTTTGACATCTGTAAGTTATCTCTTGTGGGAAATACAGCTTCTGCCACATCTCATCCTTAGCGTTTTCCCTTTGGTCTGTTGTTTATAGCATTGGGTTTGACAGGCTGGTAGGAAGCGGGGCTGATGGCCAGTTTCACCCAGAAAGTACACAGGAGACTGGTCAGAGCAGAGGAAGTCAAAGACCCACACATATTCTGGGAAGAAACAAGCTGGGGTAGGGCATGACACCAAACTCACTTAGAGTGCCTCTAAGTGAAATGGTTAATAAAGTTAGTGCCATAAAAATATAAGTTTTCTGTTCAGTGTAATAAAACACCAGAATCACAATTGAAAGGCCAGCACAAACTGGATAACTTGAATTATCCTTGAGTTAAGAAAAGCAGGTCAGGCTGGCTCACGCCTGTAATCCCAGTACTTTGGAAGGCCAAGGTGGGTGGATCACCTGAGGTTAGGAGTTGGAGACCATCCTGGCCAACATGGTGAAACCCTGTCTCTACCAAAAACACAAAAAATTAGCTGAGCATGGTGTAAGGTGTCTGTAATCTCAGCTACTCAGGAGACTGAGGCAGGAGAATTGCTTGAACTCAGGAGGTGGAGGTTGCAGTGAGCCGAGATCATGCCATTGCACTCCAGCCTGTGAAACAAGAGCTAAACTCTGTCTCAAAAAAAAGAAAAAGAAAAGAAAAGCAGGTCAGGCTGGGCACGGTGGCTCACACCTGTAATCCCAGCACTTTGGGAGGCTGAGGTGGGAGGCTCACTTGAGCCCAGGAGTTTTAGACCAGCCTGAGCAATATGGCAAAACCCAGCCTCTACAAAATTACCAAAAATTTGCTGGGCATGGTTATGCATGCCTGCAGTCCCAGCCACTCAGGAGGCTGACTGAGGTGGGAGGATCACTTGAGCCCAGAAGGTTGAGGCTGCTGTGAGCCTGATCATGCCACTGCACTGCAGTCTGTGCAGTAGAGTGAGACCTTGTCTCAAGAAAAAAAAAAAAAAGAAAAGCAGGTTATAGAATAGCATGTACGTATCATGTCATCCCATTTGTAGTTTTATATAGCCATACATGCACACACATACACGTCTGGGTAGTTAAACACTAACAGTGGCTAATAATTCACAGAGCTCCAACTGCTACAGTATTTGTAACACATGATAAAGAAACAGTAACCTTAATATACAAAGATGACTTCATGATTTAAGAAATGACTAGTCATATATAGTAGTGGGCAAAAGTTATAAAACTCACAAAAGGAGGAGGACAATGAGAGCATTGTGTTAAAATGGGCCAAGGATTCATTTTAAGTGGGTATGGTAAGACATGTAAACCTGGATAATAGGAAGGAAGTTTATACTCAGATCCTAGAAACAGGAGGCAGGTCGTGCTCCGGGGGCCACTTGGGGAAGCACCAGGCCAGTCAGGAGCAGAAGAGGAAGAGGGGAGCATGGCCCGGAGTCTTTAGTGGGGTTTTGCAGGAAAGAATGGGTGACACAGGGTAGCTACACCGGGGACATTTAGGATTGGGCAGTTTGAATACTTTGGCTGGCTCTGAGCTATGGGATGGTTCCTCATGGCCGTCTACGATTTAAGGCCGGGGAAATATTGGCTTGGTGTATGAGTATGATAAAGGAGATGGCTGGGGATGTGGGCTCTGGATTTGCTAGTTCATATATCAAAGGCACACTTGCAGGGAGTCATTTGCTATCTCTGGGAATTAAGTAGCCCCGGGAGGGGCAGCCTGTCTGGGATCAAGACCTCAAATGCCAGAGCATCAAGAATATAGAAAATAAGAAAATAGAGTCAACGCAAGCATAGAGAGTAAACTTGGGGGAAAAAAAGCAAATCTTGTTGAGAAATGTACACCAACAAAATCAATTTTAACAATGAGGAAAAAGTTTTAAAGAAATTAGTGGAAGGCCGGGCGCGGTGGCTCACGCCTGTAATCCCAGCACTTTGGGAGGCCGAGGCGGGTGGATCACGAGGTCAAGAGATCGAGACCATCCTGGTCAACACGGTGAAACCCCGTCTCTACTAAAAATACAAAACATTAGCTGGGCATGGTGGCGCGTGCCTGTAATCCCAGCTACTCAGGAGGCTGAGGCAGGAGAATTGCCTGAACCCAGGAGGCGGAGGTTGCGGTGAGCCGAGATCGCGCCATTGCACTCCAGCCTGGGTAACAAGAGCGAAACTCCGTCTCAAAGAAATTAGTGGAAAAAATATAGGGAAGTTGGAATACATTCTGCTGCTATGAGGGAAAAACAAAATCATTTTTGAGGGCAGTCTGGCAGTTCTACTTAACATTCATTCTAAGGAATTAAGAATCTTAGAAAATTTAGCTAAAAGGGTATTTTGAAAAGTACTGTTTATGGTATAAAAAATTGGAAACAAGTTGAAATATCTGATAATTAGTTAAACTAATACATTGATACAATAGAATAATATTATACAACTCTTATCATATTGGGGGAGAATAATGCACAGGAAAATATTTATACTATGTTAAAAAAATGAAGCTATTATATGACCATTTACATAATGTCCCCTTTATATCCAAAAAGTAATTGTGTACCTATGTATGTACACAATTAGATGACCCTGGTATTTAAAGTGATTACTTCCGGGTGGTGGCATGGGAGATTTTATTTCCTTTTTGTTTGCCTAAATTTTCTACAATCAGCATATAGAGATTTTTCATAAAAAGGAAACTTTTTTTAAGAGCAAAAGGAGGCTGAGTGTTTAGAACAAGGAAGATAATGGTAGGTGGTCCGAGCTCCACTGGGTAACGTGGTGCCATGGCCTCAGTGCTATGCCAGAGGGCAGAGCAGGCCTCCTTGTCCTGGCCAGGCCCCTCGCCAGGCATCTCATCCCCTCTCAGCCTTCTTAGGATCACAGGAGATAATGTGCCTTGAAAGTTGATGAGTGGACTCTAGATGCTGGCGATACTGTTACCCTGTGAACCAAGATCAATGTGCTTTTCAGAAACTCTCGGAAGTAGTAGTGGCTGGTGTTGGGATTGTGTGGGGAAAGACGAGTTCACGTGTTTGGGGTGCTCAGACCCCTCTCTGCCAGCACTTGGTCCCCCAACCCCATGTCCTCTCTCCCCCACTGCTTGGGGCAGGTCTGCACCCTGACCAAGGAAGACAATCGCTGCGTGGGCAAGATTCCTGAGGATGAGCAGCTGCACGTTCTCCCTCTGTACAAGATGGCCAACACAGATGAGTTTGGTAGCGAGGAGAACCAGAATGCAAAGGTGGGCAGCGGAGCCATCCAGGTGCTTACCGCCTTCCCCCGCGAGGTCCGGCGCCTGCCCGAGCCTGCCAAGTCCTGCCGCCAGCGGCAGCTGGAAGCCAGAAAGGCAGCGGCTGAGAAGAAGAAGATTCAGAAGGAGAAGCTGAGCACTCCCGAGAAGATCAAGCAGGAGGCCCTGGAGCTGGCGGGCATCACGTCGGACCCAGGTGTGTGGGGGAGGGTGCCTGCCAGGGGTGGCATTGGCGCTGTCCTCATGAGGGCCCTCGCTCTTCCACGCACCCTCCTGCATCACGCAGGAACTGCGGCCTCTGCTTAACTGTCAGTCAGAAAGGTATCAGCAGCAGCCGCAGGACACCCAGCCTGACGGGAGGCCATGGGGATGCAAGTATAGCAGGACTTGTTATCTGCATGGAACTGAGCTTGGTAGACGGGGAGCACTGGGTTTCTCTAGATTGCTCCCCTGGGAGAATCGGAGGCTCCCCTCTGAGCTCTAGTTTGCTCTTCTCTGAGATACTGAGGCGAGTAGCAGCATTTCAGGACACGTGGTTGTGCTCCAGGGCAGAGGGGCTTATGGGCAGAGATGGTTGCCGGCAGGCATCTGAGTTCTCATCTCCTGCCCTGGTTCCTGCTGTGATCCCCACTGGGCTGGGCACAGGGGGTGGTGGTGCTTCAGTGCAACTTCTGGAGTTCTTTAGGGTGGGGGCAGGGGGGACTGTGGACCCTGCATGAGCTGCTTCCACCAGGGGTTGCCTCCTCCCACCCCCAGTGGGGCTGGGGGCCTCTGCTGAGCAGGGCCCACATCCAGGTCCAGACTGGACATGCCTCAGCACTGCACCTGCCTGTCCCGAAAGAGGAAACATCCCTGGAAAAGAGGAGGGTCCATCCCCAGTCCCTCGCCCAGGGCCTCTCCAGGCAGTGGTGGTGTCTACCCCTCTGCCATCTTGCCTTCTATTTCTCAGGCCTGTCTCTGAAGGGTGGATTGTCCCAGCAAGGCCTGAAGCCCTCCCTCAAGGTAGAGCCGCAGAATCACTTCAGCTCCTTCAAGTACAGTGGCAACACGGTGGTGGAGAGCTACTCGGTGCTGGGCAACTGCCGGCCCTCCGACCCTTACAGCATGAACAGCGTGTACTCCTACCACTCCTACTATGCACAGCCCAGCCTGACCTCCGTCAATGGCTTCCACTCCAAGTACGCTCTCCCATCATTTGGCTACTATGGCTTTCCATCCAGCAACCCCGTCTTCCCCTCTCAGTTCCTGGGTCCTGGTGCCTGGGGACACAGTGGCAGCAGTGGCAGTTTTGAGAAGAAGCCAGACCTCCATGCTCTGCACAACAGCCTGAGCCCGGCCTACGGTGGTGCTGAGTTTGCCGAGCTGCCCAGCCAGGCTGTTTCCACGGACACCCACCACCCCACTCCTCACCACCAGCAGCCTGCATACCCAGGCCCTAAGGAGTATCTGCTTCCCAAGGCCCACCCAATCCACTCAGTGTCCAGGGACCCCTCCCCCTTTGCCCAGAGCTCCAGTTGCTACAACAGATCCATCAAGCAAGAGCCAGTAGACCTGCTGACCCAGGCCGAGCCTGTGCCCAGAGACGCTGGCAAGATGGGCAAGACACCTCTGCCCGAGGCATCTCAGAATGGGGGACCCAGTCACCTTTGGGGACAGTACTCAGGAGGCCCAAGCATGTCCCCCAAGAGGACTAACAGTGTGGGTGGCAGCTGGGGTGTGTTCTCATCTGGGGAGAGTCCTTCCATCATCCCCGACAAGCTCAGTTCCTTTGGGGCCAGCTGCCTGGCCCCTTCCCACTTCACAGATGGCCAGTGGGGGCTGTTCCCCAGCGAGGGGCAGCAGGCAGCTCCCCACTCTGGAGGACGGCTGCGAGGCAAACCGTGGAGCCCCTGCAAGTTTGGGAACGGCACCTCTGCCTTGGCTGGGCCCAGCCTGACTGAGAAGCCCTGGGGGCTGGGGGCAGGGGATTTCAACTCGGCCCTGAAAGGTGGTCCTGGGTTCCAAGACAAGCTGTGGAACCCCATGAAAGGAGAGGAGGGCAGGATTCCAGCCGCAGGGGCCAGCCAGCTGGACAAGGCCTGGCAGTCCTTCGGTATGCCCCTGGGCTCTAGCGAAAAGCTGTTTGGGGCCCTGAAGTCTGAGGAGAAGCTGTGGGATCCCTTCAGCCTGGAGGAGGGGGCAGCCGAGGAGCCCCCCAGCAAGGGAGCGGTGAAGGAGGAGAAGGCTGGTGGCGGCGTGGAGGAGGAGGAGGAGGAGCTGTGGTCGGACAGTGAACACAACTTCCTGGACGAGAACATCGGCGGCGTGGCCGTGGCCCCGGCCCACGGCTCCATCCTCATCGAGTGTGCCCGGCGGGAGCTGCACGCCACCACACCACTCAAGAAGCCCAACCGCTGCCACCCCACCCGCATCTCGCTGGTCTTCTACCAGCACAAGAACCTCAACCAGCCCAACCACGGGCTGGCCCTCTGGGAAGCCAAGATGAAGCAGCTGGCGGAGAGGGCACGGGCACGGCAGGAGGAGGCTGCCCGGCTGGGCCTGGGCCAGCAGGAGGCCAAGCTCTACGGGAAGAAGCGCAAGTGGGGGGGTGCCATGGTTGCCGAGCCTCAGCAGAAAGAGAAGAAGGGGATCGTCCCCACCCGGCAGGCGCTGGCTGTGCCCACAGACTCGGCGGTCACCGTGTCCTCCTATGCCTACACGAAGGTCACTGGCCCCTACAGCCGCTGGATCTAGGTGCCAGGGAGCCAGCGTACCTCAGCGTCGGGCCCGGCCCGAGCTGTCTCTGTGGTGCTTTTGCCCTCATACCTGGGGGCGGGTTGGGGGTGCAGAAGTCTTTTTATCTCTATATACATATATAGATGCGCATATCATATATATGTATTTATGGTCCAAACCTCAGAACTGACCCGCCCCTCCCTTACCCCCACTTCCCCAGCACTTTGAAGAAGAAACTACGGCTGTCGGGTGATTTTTCCGTGATCTTAATATTTATATCTCCAAGTTGTTTTCCCCCCCTTATTTGGGGGGCTTTTATTTTCTCTTTGTTTTTAAAACTCTATCCTTGTATATCACAATAATGGAAAGAAAGTTTATAGTGTCCTTTCACAAAGGAGTAGTTTTAAATTCCATTTAAAATGTATTTATTGGATTTTTTAAAAGCGACAATAGTAATGGTAAAGGATGGGCAGGAAAGGCCAGCAGTGCTCCCCCGCCCAATCTCGCTGGGCCCGGCGAGCCAAGCCCCTCGGGCGCTGGCAAAGTCCTCAGCCATCTGCCCCTCGAGAGCCAAGCGCAGACGGTAGCCACCCAGTTCATCCCTCCCGACACACACACCTTCCCTTCGGGGAAGGGAGCCTCAGGACAGCCTCTGTCCTCTCCGATAGGATGGGAGAGTCTGCAGAAAACCATCTGGGGTCCCTTTTCCAGCCCCCGGCTTGGAGTCGAGGGGCAGATGCACCCCAGGCCAGCCCCCCTGAGATGCTGGCACAGCTTTCCCCAGAAACCAGGTTGGAAGTAGATGGCTTCAAGCTTGCTAGTCTCCACACTGAATCCTCTGTCCGTTATTTATGGAGTCACACGATGTCACGGTTCACTAGGCAGCACCTCAAGCTGGAACTGGAGTGCAAGGTTCTTAGGGGCCGCGCCTACCATGTTGCCAAGCCAATGCATGCTGGGCTGAAGGAATTTGTCTTAGTGGCAGTTTTTTTAAAAAAATGCCCCCAAAGTCTATGCTGATATTGAAAAAGGGCTACTGTATCTATCTTTAAAAACAGGAAGTTGAACCCAAGCTGTGAAAAGCCAGTGGTGCTCTGTGCATGGTGCTGTGCGGAGCCTGGTGCTGTATAGTGTTGTGCTGGGACTTTCTTGACTCTTGGGAAGGTCACATCCTACAGGAGCTCAGCAGACCAGTGTAACAACAGTTAATGCATCTATCCTGATCCCTGAATTTCCACATTGGACAATGGTGCATGCCTCATACCTGAGCCTGCTTCCTCCATGCTATCGTCAGGTTCAGGGGCCTACACTTAACAATTTTAAAGTGCAAGAGTCAAACATTTTCAACAGGTTGCTATGATTTTCCTCCCTAATTGGTGCCATTTCTCCATTTGATCATTTTTTTCCTTTCTCCCCTCTTCATCCACTTTAACATACTCATTCGAAAATTCTGGTGCATTCATTCGGTTCTTTGAAATGAGAATGTGGTGCTTACTTTTTGTGACATTGTTGAGATAGGTTGGGCCTGATGGGAGCAACACTCATTGTCACCAAGTCAAACTGCTTGGGAGTGTTGGTTGTTCTTGTGATATTAGCAGAAATGATCTCACGCTACCCATGTGGATGTGGATGTGGATGTGGTGAATGGGGGGCTTCATCAGGACACACAGAGGGGAATGTGGCCACACAGTGGATGACCACCAAGCCCTGAGATGACCAGGTATTTACTGAGCAGTTGTATTCAGATATGGGTCTTCATGAATCATGTTTAACAATAAGATGACAGCTAGAGGCAAGTTCCTGAGCTTCCGGGTGCCTTGTTTAAGAGCTGAGAACCGGCCTGCTGGGTGTTTACTGTACCTGTTTGGAAGCACTGGCAGAGGGTCGTTGTAAGATGTCCTGAGCATTTATGTGGTCTGGTTTTAACTGTAAATAGTGAAAGATTTTTTTAAGCACTTTTGCCTAGATTTAAACAGCAACTTGAAAAAAAAAATGTTTTAACATGTAATTGTGGGAGAAACTGTAAATAGTAGCTGAATATTTAACGTGCTTTGTCTATCCTCCACTTTTACCATATTCTGTAAAGTTGCATTTATTTTACAGGACAAAAAATGAAATATTATTGCTTTTGAAATAAATACCCAAGAGCTTATCAGGACTTAGAATTATTCAGAACTCAGATCTATAGGAAAACCTCTGACCTTCAGTTTGACAAGCTAAAGGAAGCAGAGTCTTTAATGAGCATGCTAATTTTCTAGTTTTGAGGAAAAATTGGGTCCTTTAAATGCTATTTTGCTTATCGCATCAGTACTTTTATGCAGGTCTCATTTGACTCCGTGCTTAGGTAGATGCGGGGGTGCCTTGAAAACTTCATTTTAAATGATCTTAAGCAAGAAATACAATATTTTACGAAACATGTGGAGAATGTGACCGTCTGTATGACCCATGAAGCCCCAGGTTGGCTGTTGGTTTGGAAGGTCCCGAGTGTAACCCAGGTGATGCTGATACTTGGCATGTGTGAATCTTCCTCATGTGTGTTAAATACACTCTTCCCTCATCACCTTTTGGTAGGAAAGCCATTAGATGAAAGGAGAAACCAATACAAGCTAAAAGCATGCGACGTCTGTCCCCCAGCCCAAAATGCCTTGGTTCATCAGTTTCTAGGGTAGGAAATAGGCTGCTGAGAGGTGAGTCAAGAGGCAGTCTCCATTGGATGTCCCCACTCCCCTCAGAATAGCGTTTCCAGAGTTAGGCGGTGCGATTGCCGTGCTCAAGCCCATGCTGATTTGTACACTACATGTCTAACCTACCTCAAATCTCAGTCATTAAAATTAGCATGCTTTAGACATATATTTAAAAAGTAACTATGCACAGCTCTTTATCCCCCCTTGCTGCTGAAGGTTTCTTAAAGAGAAAAATCAAATTTTTATTTTTTACTGGCACTATCATTTTTTAAATCCTAAAGATGATTAACAGACATTTTTATCATGAGAAGAAAAATAAAGCCATTGCAACTAAAGAAACTAACAGCATGACCAAGTTCGAAGAGTAATATTATAGCAACGGAAACCGATGGCGTCTCAGTCATCTCCCCAGTGTGCCCTGTCCATGGACACCATCCACGTGCAGTGCAAAACATTTGGTTCCTTTTCTGCTGTGTTTTGTTTTCCCTGCCTGTCGCGTGCAAGGGAAGTACTTGTAAAGTTCTGTGCTAAGAGATTTTTAAAATAAAAATCGCTTTGCAGCAGGTTCTCACAAAATAACTGGTGCTAGCTCAAGAAATCATTATCTGACCATCAGAAATCTTGACTAAAGGTGTTGCATGGATTTGGGGGTTTTTTGGTTTTTGGTTTTGGGTCTGGTTTTTAGCAGGGCCAATGTTTCCCACACCCCGGCTTCATGGTTACTGCTTTGCCTTCTCACTAAGGTGACGATGGTGTGCGTGGAAAGAGATGATATACCCCACCGCCCCCTCTTGGTCCTTCCACCAGCCTCTTTTGGAAACAGTAGTTTGCAGAGCAAGGGATTTTTAAAGTGCTAAAGCAAGGAAAGAAGTGGCAGAGCTTAACTGCTTTGTATCACACAGCAGCAGATGTGCAAGGATGGTTGACAATGAGTCAATGATAACCTGATTTCATTGAGAGAAATCCAGCCAGACTTGCTTCTAGAGGTTTAACCACCATGAGATCTCAAAGCAAGGCAAAGCTGGTGGAAAACAATATGATATCCCTGACGTGCCTCAACCAGTATCTCTTTCCTTTTGTTACTGAAGTGTGTTTTATGGACTAGGAAGCATTTTTATGAATTGAAATAGTCTAAATAAAATGGTGCTATGGTGTTTTAATGTGACTGTCCCTGATCCTGTCTTGCTGAGGTGCTATCAACGTTCTGAAACCACAACCAACCAAAAACAAGGTGGGCTCCAGTCTCTTGGCTTTTGTTTTCCCTCCCCTCTTTTGGTGCTGTCTTAGACCCGTTTACCGTGCTATAATCTGCTCTGAGCAGTGTTGTGTTTTGTTGTATCGTTCTTCCCTTGGTGGCCAAACAAAGCAAGTCGAGAAGGCAGCTAGCTCCCTTGCTGTGATCCGGAGTGGGCCTGCCTGGCTTTGCAGGTGCTTTGGTTCCACACTTGTCTTCTCAGGCTTGATGTGAGAGAAAGGGCGAAGGGTTTTTTGAGTTTTTGTTTTTGAGGAAGGGGAGTTGGATACTCCTGCCTCTCCTAGCATGATAGGCATTCTCATAGCCAGGGACACAGATTTTCTCCTGCAGCCCAGGGTGCTAAGCAGACATCTCTGGAAGTCCCAAGGGCACACCAAGAGAGACCAGATGGACCTCCTTCCTCCCCTGGCACTGGCCGGGACCGTGGTGGGCAGGGGCTTCATTCTCTAACCCAGCGTTGCTTCTGCCTCTCATTGGTAACCCATTATGTTCAGACTAAAGGAAGGAGCTTTCTTTGCTCACTCGATGCCACTGAGGCTGCTTTTTAGTTGGTGCTAACCTAAATTTCATCTTGGGTCCACAGAAGTTGATGTTTTAAAAACAACAGGAAGCTCCATTTTGTGTCATCCACTGTCACAATAATTTTTTTAAATACCTCAAAAACAGGACATCATGACAACTTCAGTAAAGTAGATTCCATGAGGGTCTGATACCTGCAGGTTGTCCGTCTCATGACGTACTTGACCTTGAAAAATCTGGGGTCATTTTGTTTTTCATTCTTCAGCAGTTAAAATAACGGAACGCCGAAAGGAAGGAGTGTGGTTGGCTGTAGTTCATGTTTAAGTTTTGCTTTTGAATAAAATGTGAATTTTCTATGCCCATCTCCTTGAGCTTTCTTGGTCATTGTTGCTGTCATTTGAAATGACTCCCTCAAAACCTAGTTTTATCAGCCAGCCACCTCTGCTGTAGTACATGGCCAACTTCAGTATACCCTGGACCAAAACATTTTTGAGGTGCATACCCCCAGCATAAGTTACACAGTCCCACATCCAGGTGCACAGTTTCCTCCACAAGTGCGGGGAGAGGGGCGGCCCCCTCTGGTGCTCCCAGCCCTTCCTCCTGCAGAGCTGCAGGCAAGAGCAGAGCAATAGGCTTCTCACCTGAGCAGAGACCGCAGCACAGAAATGCGAGGTCTAAAGTTGCTTTTTGCCTAAGAATCAGCGAGCGATTTGGCCTACTTCCTCATTGGCTTCTATTCTGATATCAGGGATGCTTTTTGTAGTGGTATTGTTTGCTCCCTCTTCGCGTTTTGACTACCCGTCATTCAGGGGTAACTCATCACTCTTCACGTGGGGATTTAAAGTAAGAAACTAATTGGCTTATTTGAACATTCCAAATTTTCTTGGTTTCAATGCTTTTTTTTTTTCTTTTGAGGGGAAAAGAGGGGAGAAAAACAGGAGTGATGTCATTTCTTTTTCATGTATTCCAATCAAAGAAACAAGGGCAGGTTGTATAGTGGCATATTAATACATTAGACTTAATCTAGAACCCCTGTAGCTTTTTGATGTGTTTTATTTCTTATCTCTTTGAATTCCTGTTTGGTTACTTGGCTTCCAATGGAGGTGAACTTAACAACCATACTTGAATATTCCGTCTTGACTTTGTAAACTGTGGCTACTTGAAATGAAGTTTATCTGGGGTTGATGGATGAATGGTAGATTTTTGCAATGTCTCAAGGCAATAGGATGTGTATTAAACTGTAGATATTCTTAGTACAGTAAATTTATGCTGATAATTTTATTTTGTATAATTTTTACCTTTTTGTTAATATTTTTTCTTTCCACTTTTTTGGTTTGCCTCCTGAGCTACCCCTCCTTACCCTCCTTTTTCCCCCAGTGTTTCAGTAAATTTAATTTAGGGTGCCTAGAAATTGCAAGTATGTATCCTTTTTGATTTGTATTTTATTATAATTTACACAAACAGCTGGGTTTGTGAACTGTATTACTCCTGGTATCTTTAAAATGTTGTGGGTGTTTTAATAAATTTTATATTTATTTTTTGCACTCAAATTCATTGTGGGCTCTTTTTTTCCCCTCCTTGAACCAGTTCTGGAATGTGATGTGTCAGGTACCCTGTAACTTCACCTGCCCGCCGTATGTTGTAGATGCACAAATGAAGCCCTCACTAATAGCAGTGGCAGAACCTGTCCATTCTGCCACCTACATAAAGGAATGTTCAAAGGCCATCAGCTGTTAAAACGGGATCTAAAGGGGGAAAGTAGAGATGGCCTTTTTCTCATCTATGTTCCTCTGTTTTCTTTCCCTTTTATGTTTTTGTCCCTTTCTTTTCTTTCCACTGGGAGATACCCCCCTTCTGCTAAAATTAACATCTGATGTTAGGTTTGCTAAAGGATCACTGAATGCTGCTTGGTTCCGATGGCTTGAACAGCAAGTCTAGTAGGGAGTGGCCAATATGGAACCCAAGATTCTGCTGACCCGTAAGGTTTCCCGTAAGATCCCATGCCTGGAGCTACCTTCTTTAATTCAGATTGCCAATTCTGGAGGTAGCTGTTCTTGAAAAGGGAACATGAATTGAGGAAGAAGAGTGAGTGGGGGAACCATCCTCGTGCTCTTCCCCTTCCTCTGGCTTGAAACATCTGACTGAAATTGATCCAGCATCTTTGAGGGACAACCAGCCCAACTGTTGATAAGGATTTCAGCAATATCCCAACATCCCAAGTCACTCTAGATGAGGAAGTTCATCTCTGAGGGCATCTGGGTGAAAACCTCATGATCATAATGAGTGCCAGGTGATGGGCTTAGAGGTTTTTATGTCCATTTTACTTTGCTTGCAAAGGAACCCACTGGAAATGCCTTGGCACACCTGGCTATCCAGGCATCCTCAAACATGTTTATATGTTTTACAAAAGTGGAGTCACACTGTGCTTTGTAACCAGCTGCTTTCCTTCTTGAGTTGGAAGAGACCTAGTTCTGTCCCCTTCCTGAGCCCCTGTCATGATGGCCCCATCTGCAGAGCCTGAGGGGAGGGCCAGGACATTCCTGCTTCAGCTAGGGCTGGTTTCACTATTGTTAGCTATAACTGTGCTGCCAGCTCTTCTTATACAAGTTCCATGTTAAATATAGAAAATTAAACACAGAAGTTCTTAAAAGTTATCTGAAATTCCACCACAAGAGAACTGCATATTGGTTGCAAACATTTTCTGAGTGTGTAAACATGAGCCACATGTATTTTTTTTAATGGAATACGGTAATACAATGTTGTAGTCTTTTTGCACATAAACTGTCTTTATCAGTATGCAGAGTAGCATTTTTTAAATAGTTGCCGCTGGGCACGGTGGCTCAAGCCTGTAATCCCAGCACTTTGGGAGGCCGAGGCGGGTGGATCACCAGGTCAAGAGATCGAGACCATCCTGGTCAACATGGTGAAACCCTGCCTCTACTAAAAATACAAAACAGTAGCTGGGCATGGTGGCACGTTCCTGTAATCCCAGCTACTCAGGAGGTTGAGGCAGGAGAATTGCCTGAACCCAGGAGGCGGAGGTTGCGGTGAGCTGCGATCGCACCATTGCACTGCAGCCTGGGTAACGAGTGAAACTCCGTCTCAAAAAATAAAAAAATAAAAAATATATAAATAGTTGCCTAGCAATTTTTTTTTGGTATGGATAGAGAAGCATTTAATCATTCCTGTAACTCTAACATCCCAACTTGTTGCAATTATAAATTGAACTAATCAAAATGTTCCTCCATGTAAATCCCGCTCAGTCTATTTCTTTCTGTGCTAAGAAGTGACACAGTAAATTCCCCTCTGCCACATGACTACATCCTTAATTCCATCCTTAATTCTTGTAGCAGATCCAGGCCCTGTCCACTACTACTCCCCACCGCGCCCCCGTCTGTTCACACCTACAGCATCATTATTCATACTGGGATCTCTAGAAATGAGCAATTTGTTCCAGATGGGATCCGGCTCATGCAAGCCAAGCTCAAAGACACCAAGGAGCCCCACGATCTGGACACACTATTTTTACAAATGCATACTGAGGCTTATTAGCTTTTTAAGCAGCTGAGTTTTACCAAAGGCTTGTGGCTTGGAAAGAACATGGCTCCCTCCCTTTGCAATTGTGTGATTTGATGAGCCATTTCATTTCCCTGTGTCATTTTGTCAATAAAACAAGCTAATGATACCACATGAGATTGATAATAAGGATCCAAAAGTTGCTACAGTAGTGAAACTGCCAGGCATTAAGGATATAGTAGGTAATAAGAGCTATCATTATTATTCTTGACATATACAAAGCTTTAGGTCACTAAGGAGGCCAAGACTAGTCTTGGACCATATAGTGACCTCTTCTGTGAACTCCCGCCAAATCAGGTCCACCAACTCCAGTCTTCATGCAATTCATTTTTTTTTTTTTTTAATGCTTCACACAGCAGTTGAAGTGTAGCCATCTTAAATAGACTGCTTAACCCACTCTTCCTGCCTATTTTGAATCTTAATTTTGTCAAAGTATTTGTTTACCCAACCCAGCTACACAACTTGGTCAGCAACTATCGTTATGTATTCTGATGCTCTTGTAAGCTTCTTAAGCTTGGAGAGCTATTAGTCATCTTTGCCTCCCATTGTACTCCGAAAATAATAGGCATTCAATATCCCATGTCCATGGCATGGTACATCCATCCATCCATGAAGCCCTGTAAACAAGTTCAACACACATAATCTGGTGTATGTTTTTGTCAGAGCCAGGAAGACAACATAGAAGACGTGAAAGACGAAGACAAGGCTTTGTTAAAGTCTAGATATCCGCAGTGCCTCATCCCCACTCCAGAGGTCTTAGCAGAGGCCTGCTTTCCTCTTCTGAAAAGCCCAACCCCAGGCCCAGGGAGCCTGCCCAATTTCCCTCCCTACACTTCAAACCATCTTCCTGTATACCCATCCTCTTTACCACACACACACACTAAGTCCTGCTGCTCGGTACTCCCGCCCCATCCCCACTCACTCTCTCCATGTGTACCCTGTGCTGCTCCTGTGGAACATGCTTCATCCATTAACCCTTTTCTGTGGCTTCTCCCTGTCACGTGCTTTCAGGTTCACCCCAGCCTGACCCTGCTCTTCCTCATACGCCTTTCCCACTCCTTCCTATCACCGCCACATGTCTGCAGGTATAGACAGCCTACTAGCTTCAAGGTCCATACCACTCATTCACCTGTACCCGTTTCTCCAGAAACAGCCAGTTTCTAGGCCAGTGATCCTCATCCTCACTGACTTCTGTAAAGCCTTGAAAACCCTCTGCTCCCAGACTGCATAGCCAGAAACATTCCACTGTCCCAGGACCCTGCCCCCTTTCATGGGCCCCTTTGTGACTTCATGTCCTTTAAATACAAATGCCCTCAAGAGAATCAACTCAAACTTCTCCACAGACTATGAGCTTTCCCTCAAAGGACTTGTTCAGCCACCAGGCCTCAACTATGACCCTAATGCCAATGATTTCCAAAACCATGTCTAGCCCTGACCTCCCTCATGAGTTTAGGCTGTTGAATAGCTCAGGGTGGCTCCCTATGTGGCCTCTCAAATATGAAGGGCCTTCTGATGGTAGTGCCAGTAATACCACAGGAACTCACCCCAATTTAATTTATTTATAAAGTATCTAAGAAACTCCTTTCAAAATCCATTAAAATATTTACATAAACTATAAAACTCCAAATAAAGAAAATTATCAATAAGAACCAAAACATCAGCAAAATTATACTCAAGGAAGTAAAAAAATTAACAGGGAACCAAGTTACTTAAAGCCAAATAAGTTTTACTATGTAAAAAACAACATGCAAATCTAAGGGGTATAAAATTTTTTTAATTATAACTCGATCAAGACAGAAAAAAATTTTTTTAATTATTTAAAAAAAAATAAGAACTCAAAGACTAGCAATGAGTGCTTTGCAAGAAATACAAGAGATTAGAGAGTGACTACAATCAATTAGACAGAAAGTACAATCTACTTTCAAACAGGTTAAAAATCCCCACAGCTAACATCTTACTGAAAGGGGAAAAGCTGAAAGTTTTTCCTCTAAGAACTGGAACAATACAAGAATGTCCACTCCCATCACTCTTATTCAACATAGTACTAGAAGTCCTACCCAGAGCAATTAGGCAAGAACTTGAAATAAAAGGCATCCAAGTTGAAAATGGGAAAGTCAAATTGTCCCTGTTTGCAGACGACGGGATCATATATATAGAAAAAACTAAAGACTCTACCAAAGAATTCTTAAAACTGATAAACAAATTCAGTAAAGTTGCAGGATAAAAAAATTAACATATAAAAATCAGTAGTATTTCCATACTTGTACAACAAACTTAGCAGAAAAAGAAATCAAGAAGGCAATCCCATTTACAGTAGCTACCAAAAAATAAAATACCTAATAATAAATTTAATCAAGGAAGTGAAAGATGCTACAAGAAAAACTACAAAACACTGATGAAAGATATTGAAGAAGATAAAAACAAACGGAAAGACATCCCATGCTCACAGATTTGGAAAAATTCATATTATTAACATAGCAATACTACCTGAAACAAGCTACAGTTTTAATGCAATCCCTATCAAAATACCAACGACAAAAAAAAATGAAAAAAAAAAATACCAATGACATTCTTCACAGAAATAGAAGAAAAAAAATCCTAATATGTGTATGAAACCACAAAAGACCCCAAATAGCCAAGTCAATCCTGAGTAAAAAGAACAAATCTGGAGGTATCAAATAATCAGGCCTCAAAATACACTACAAAGCTGTAATTACCAAAACAGCTTGGTACTGGCATAAAAACAGACACAAAGACTAATGGAATACAATAGAGTCCGAAGTTAATCCACTTCTTTACAGCCAACTGATTGTTGGCAAAGATGCCAAGAATACTTATTGGGGAAAGGACAATCTCTTGAACAAATGGTGCTGGCTTATAAGTGGGAGCTAAGCTATGAGGACACAAAGGCATAAAAGTGATATAATGGAATGTGGGGACTCGGGGAGGGCTGGAAGGGGGCAATGGATAAAAC